TTCCTTTGCTTTTTTGACCAATTTATGTTCTTTTCTTTTTTTTTTTTTTAATTGAGTGTTAAAATTTTGAAAAATCAATCATTAATTTTCTTCACACAAACTAATGATTATATAATATATACGATATATTTTTAGATTTTAGAATAAATATATATTACACTTATTATTTAAAATTGATCTTTTCGATTAATTGTAAAAAATTTCATCAAGTTAATTTTTATTCTTATTTTTTATATAATTTTATTTTTTAATAGATATGATTTATTTTCTCTATGTATGGATCCGAATATGTTTTTTTTATAGCTATTTTTATATGCTTAATTCTTATATAATCAAAATTTAAAAATAATATATATATATATATATATATATTATTTTCTTATTCTTTACATAATCAAATTTTATCAAAATCAAATTTATAGCTTTTATTGCGCCCTATTAACTTCAATATATATTTTACTATTTAGTTTTTTAAAAAATATTTTTTAATTTATGCTACACATTCTTTCCCATTGAATACGATCATAATATATAAAAGAAATAATAATATTTGAGCCATTGATTTTATTAGAAATCAGTCTGTGCATATACTCACAAAATACCAACTATTTAACTATTTGCTATTATTTTTTTAATATTTTAAAATTAATTTTTTCAAATAAATAATTGAAATAAAATTTTAGGACAACTCGCCTAATAATTCAAATATAATTTTTTATACTAATATTATTCTTATTTTGTATATAAATATATATAAATCAAATATATGTATTTGAAAAAAAAATTCATCAATTAAAAAAAAGCTTCATTTTGTTAATTTTCATACAAGTTTTTATATTAATCATTGCTTCATTTATTCAATGTAATGTCATGAAAAAAATATTAAGATATTTTTTAAAAATTTTATATTAAATTTTTTTATTGTGGGTTTTTATTTAAGCATAAATACATAAAAAAGAACAAATCATGTTTTTTTATCTTCAAAATTTATTCAAAAAAAAAACAGATACAAAATTTTGATTAAATATTATAAAATTAGATAAAACTTTATTTTTTATATTTAATTTAATATGTTTTAATCAATCAATAATATAGTCATATGCTATCAAACTCGAAATAAATATATTTAATTACGTCCATAGTATATAGCGAAAATTCGACTAGTGTAAAACTAGAAAAGTTGGAAATTCAAAGACCAAACTGTCTTTTGTTAGTTGCTCGTCGAATTCCGCAGAACATGCTGATGTTTGGAATTTTTGTCAGATCTTGGCAAATCCAACCTTGATCACTAAAATTCACATTGTCGAATTTTCCCTAAAAAAAAGAAAAAAAAATCACATCCTTACACTTTTTAGAACTTCTTAAACTTAACTCAAACCTCATAACTTATTTCTAAACAACTATTTTAGACTAAAATTTAATTTTATATTTTTTAAATCTAAAATCTTCAAATTCACATTTTTCTTAATTTTGATTGGGAAATTATTTGATTTTGATGTCAATAAATTTATTGTGATGAGATTTTTTAATTGACTGTGTTTTTAACTAATGTAATGGCCGAATTTCTTTCTTGTTTTGCCGGGAAAAATGATTGCCGGCATAATTTTTTTTCCGAATTAAGGGCCAAAAAATTAATTAGAATTCAAGAAAATAATTGTTTATGGTAGAGAACATCGTAATATAAACCATCTGGGTCCTTCAAATTTATTCTACCACGTGTCGTTCAAATAAAAGCAAAGGCATTCAAAAGCATGGATCACCCCCAAGATAATTTAGGCATTGAAGAATTTTCCTTAAGTTCTAGGAATCTGAAAAACAAACATTGATGCCCCAAAAGATTCAAGCCCACAAATCCCACAAAACCAATCCCTGCATGGAGTGGCCCCAGCTAACCTGCCTAGTTATTTTTATTGTAACTCGCCTTGAGTCAACATGGACCATATCACTTTAAGAAACACAGTGAAGATGACGTGACTGTACCCATTATAAAAATCAAATCAAATCCAGATATATCATCGTCATTTATATTTTAAACGTATAAAGAAAGATATATCATCATCAAAATACGTTATCAGATTGGTTGATGAGCTGACGGATGACATGAACGGCTGGCAATGACTAATGACCCTCGATGGCGAGAGGGTGAGCAGAGCTGATCGTGCGATCGCGTAGTAGGGAATCAAGAGAAAAAACGAAGTCTATGACCTGGTCAGAGTTCACCTTTTACTTTGCCATTTTTGTTTTCCATGTATTTATTAGTGATAGTATTATTTTATCAATTTTTTTGGATAAATCATTCTTAGTCCCCAAAGTTTAGATGTGGTGAGACTTTAGTCTCTTGGGTTGGAAAAATCTATTCCATAGTATTTAGGTTTTATTATTTGGTACATATAATTTAAATGATAATTCGAAAATCTATTCCATATTCTCTTGGGTTCGAAAATCTATTCCAAAGTTTATATGTAGTGAGATTTTAGTCTCCATCAAATTAAATGATAACTCGTAAATATAATTATTTGTGTGAGTTATCAAATATGTCATTTTAAAAGTTAAAACAAAAATAATTCATGACCCTATTTTATTTGATTTTGCAATAGAGAAATGATTTATTTCATGAATTATTCAGACACAAAGACCTGAATACTTATGTATAATAAACAATCAAAAAGTCATATTTAATTAAATCAATACTATTTTATTTTATTTTATTGTATTTGATAAATATTTGTAATGTGTTTTTTATTATGTGTAAAATCAATGCAATTATTTATAATTATTAAAAAAATAGAAAATCAAGTCAATCATCCAACTCATCACTAGACTAGTCGGTTTAACATTTTAAATATAAAAATGATCTAATTCAATAATAATGTAATATCAAGTTTCGTTGTAATGGTTTTTCAGTTTAATCGACTAGTTTATTTCAATTTTGATAACGCTAAGAGTAAGTGTTTAAACTTTGAAGCTAGGAAGATTAATATAGATATACTAAAAGAATTTAATTGTCTGGTTGATCAAACAAAAGTAGATAAAAGTAAAAGGAGTAAGTAATTATTTTTCGAACTTGATGGATTAAAGTAAAGGAGAGTAAAGGATCAGGGATTAGAATGTGATTTATTTCTTAATTAATCGTTTGATCACTGACGATTCGACCAGACTAATATGTCTATCCGAGGCGAAGAGACGCGTTCCTCGCTGCGATCGACTTGTTATGTGGAGATGACTGTTGGTATGACAATGACTCAGTGACTCAACACTATTTTACCAGAACGCCCTTGTTTTTCTATTTAAACGACGAGATCGCCATCTCGTTAGCTTTTTATCATACCCAAGATTTTCTTTCCTTTCTCCTTTTTGTTAGTTCGTTAATTTTTTTTCCCCCTATTTGGAATGTTTATCAAACTCTCAAATATTTTGTTTCTTTCTGTTTGGATAGATGCATGCCGTGCATCAAACACTCGCTTTGCCCCTTTGAAAATAAAATCTGTATTTTTTTTAATAAAAAAACATAATCTTTAATTGATATAATTAGAATAATTTAATTTTTATAATCAAATAATATTAGATTATAAATTTGAATCTTGCTCAATTATGAAAATAAATTAATCAAAATATAAGTTGATTCTTGCAATTATATCAATTAATGTGTGTCCCCTTATGGCACATGTTAAAAGAACTCTACTTTTTTCAATAGATGAAGTAATATTTTCCTTCTCTTTTTTGTTGTTTTACTTTGTCCATCATTAGCATTGAGAAAATTCGATGTATTGTTGAAGATATAATCTAATTATTTATAGTGGACAACAAAAACAAAATGGCATTTTAAAGTTCTAATTTGTAGTAGATTGGAATAATAACACGATATTAAATGGTGATAGCAGATATTTTGTCAATCACATTCTGCTTTCTTTCAATATATTTTTCCTTTCATAAAAAACCTGTTCGAGTTATTGGTTGGTGTCTAGCGGTTCTTTAAAAGGGAATGACTATAATACCAATCCCATATGTTTGTGTACATAACAGTGTCAATTTACGCATGAAAGAAAAAAAAAAAGAAAAAAGAAAAAAACAGAAGAAATAGAGTCATACTTGAGTGTAATATAGATGATCAAAAGAAAAAACCAATACATTGATTTAATCGGTTGACAAACTAAATATATCGGCATATATTTAAACCATTTGTTATGTTATAAATAAACCAACTTTTATATATATATCATTACTTTTATTAAATTTATCAATACTAGCAAAGTGACACTGACAATAATCTAAATTCAAAAATATTTAATAAAAAAATAATAAGTAATATGCTCTCTTGAATTATTCAATTTTCATTAATTATGGTTACTAAAAATAACCAGTCTAAATCCAATTTACACGAATTGTTGTTACTTTTACAAAATAGTTATTAACTTTTGTTTTCTCATATTCTATTTATGAAAAATTATTCAATATACAAAAATTATATTTCGTGTTTTCATAAAAACAAGAAATTTATGAATTATTTTTGCGATAGATCACTTGTTTTTATAAGATAACAGAATATAATTCTTAATATACCTTATAATTTTACACCAATTATTTCCAATTAAAAAGATTTCTATTTTATTTTATATAAAAAAAGAAAAAAAAGTTTTGAGAGCCAACAATTGTGGGCAACTTGGGGAAAAAAATTAGTTGAGAAGAAGTCCCAACCGAGTCAGCCTCCATAAGAAGAAGAAACGGTCTCGTCCAAGACAAAAGCCATAAAACCATCTTCTCCTCGTATATAACTGCGCAACTGTCTCTCTATCTTACAAAAAAAAGGCCTCTCCTTCTCTGACCTCGTCCTCTCTTCCTCCATTTTCCCCTCACACTCCGAAAAACACAAACGCAATCACTACGCCTTATCCACCAATCTTCAGTTTCAAATCTGAAAACCATAAAAAAAAAAAAATACAAAAACATCATTACTTGAGTTTCTTTTTCAAATCCTTATAAAAAAAAAAAAAACATTAAAGATGCCTGCTACAGAACACCAGCCATCATTTCTTGGCAGAATCAGCATTAGAAGAAACCAAGTAATTGCCATGGATGGTAACCATGAACAAGAACTAGAAGACCTGGAGCTTTTTCAAAGACACACAGGTGATCGTTTTGCTGATTTACTGTCACCTCCTGATAATCAAGATTCTCCTCTCACTGGTGAGTCATTTCTCTCAATTTCTTGGCTAAGAAAACTAGTCGATGTTTTGTTGTGCTGCGAGGCTGAATTCAAAGCTGTTTTAATTATGGGTCGTGAGCCTTCTCAAATATCTAAACCACCATTGGATCGTTTGCTTAGTGATTTTATGGAACGTTCTGTTAAAGTTCTTGATATTTGTAATGCGGTTGCTACTGGGGTTGATTCTATTCGTCAATGTCAAAAATTGGCTGAGATTGTTGTTTCTGCTTTAGAGCAGAAACCAATTGGTGATGGTCAAGTTAAGCGAGCTAGAAAGGCTTTGAGTGCTTTGATGTCTGCTTTGACAATTGATGATAAAGAAAATAATCATTCAAGGTACGCAGAGAGAACTTGGTCTTTTGGAAGGAGAGGAAATAATAGTGGGGGTAATCATAAGGACCGAGCTAATCACGGTTCTCTTCGATCTTCATCCATGGTTGTGGCTAAAAACTGGTCTGCTGCAAAACAAATTCAAGCTATGTGTTCTAATTTGGCGGTACCAAGAGGTGGAGAATCAACAGGATTGGCTCAGCCTGTTTATATAATGAGTAATGTTATGGTTTTTGTGATGTGGGCTCTTGTGGCTGCAATTCCATGTCAAGAAAGGAGTGGATTGCCAACCCATTTTCAGATTCCAAAGCAATTTGGGTGGGCACATAGCATAATTGGGATGCAGGAGAAGATTGGAGAGGAATGGAAAAAGAAAGAGAAAAAAGGGTCAGCTGGGTTGCTTGAGGAGATGCAGAGGATGGAGAAGTTGGGGCAGAGTTTGATTGAATTTGCTGATGGATTCCAATTTCCTGCTGAGGCTGAGAAGTTAGAGGAAGTGGCTGCGCAAGTGGCGGAGCTGGCGGAGATTTGCCGGAGAATGGAAGAAGGGTTGATGCCCTTACAGCAGCAGATTAGAGAGGTGTTTCATAGGATTGTGAGGAGCAGGACAGAGGTTCTTGATTCGTTGGATAATGGGAAAGTTTCTCAACCTATAATGTAACGCGAGTCTGAACTTTTGTGCAAAATGGGGTCTTGAAAGTTTGAAAATTTTTAGGTATTTTTATTATCCCAGGTTCAACTTGGTCATGGGTAGATGAACATGGGCATATATATGTTGAACCTCAATGCGGATGTTCATACAGGTTTTCCTTCTTCTTCTTTTTCCCCTTTAGTAGAGATTATATGGCTTCAACACACCAAGTATAGAGGTCTAGTATGCATTTCTAAATATGAAATGTACTCTTTCTTTTTTCCCCCTTCTCTTAATTCGTTATCGTGTTGGGTAGAGGATGTTTTGTTTAAAAGAAATGTATAGTACTAATTGAGGTTTACTTTTGTATCAAGAGGAGTTGGGGATGACAGTTGTTTTATTTTGGAAATGGATGTATGGTCCTTCGGTTTTTTTATTTTTTATTTTTTATTGAGGCAGGCAAATCACAGGACTGGAATTTCGATTTTTCTTACTCTACCCTAGAGAGATTTGTTTTGTTTTAGAACAAATGTTTAGGTGGTTGGTTTTGGCAACCAAAAGAACAGCTCAAAATTAGCTGGTTTTTGTGGTTTTATGGACTCACCTTGCTGCAATTTCCTTTGTGTTGTAAATCTCGTCAATTAGGGGATTAGCATTGCTCTATAAGCTGTAAATTCAAGATTAAGGTTATGTAAATTGATCTACACTGTTGTCTGTTCCCCAGTTCATGATTTGTTTTGCTCCTCATCTTGGAACACTGGCCAGAGAAGAAACGAGTCATTTTTTTTTCATCTAAATTTCTTTGTTTGATTTCTCTTGCCTTTATTGCCAAATTTTTCGTAAGAAAAAGGAGTAGTTGAATACTATATTAGTTGAATTCATAAAAGAGACAAATGTAAATGGAACTAATATCATGTCTTCCACCTCCTCCTGCTCGCTTGGAATCTAGTCTCTCTCTCTCCAACTCTTACCAACTTGTTTGGATTCATCTATTTGTATAATGAGAGAAAATGCAGAAGAAGACAGATTCAAGCTACAAGCCTAAAACTAAAATGAGTCCCCTTTGTGCATGGCCAGTTAGCCACCATCTGAAAATGAAAAAACAGACTCACAAACAGCTTGCCAATTATTTAATTTGTCAAGTTTGATGGGATGATAAAATTCATGTAAGCCATTCATTGTTATTATTGGTGATATTTTTCTCCCATAGGGCCGTCCATGTATTTCATCGTTTTCAGCTACGTTTCAAACATTTTCTGTTTGGGCGCGCCCTGCAAACAGGAACATGATCTTCTGCCAATGAAAAAAGTCTCGTGTGTAGAAGCAATACATTCTGATTTTTATAAATGCGAACCTGAATTTTACTGAAATTGATTCAAAAGCACTTAATAATTGTGCTGCTTATCAAGGCTACAGTAGAGGAAGAAAGTCATACAAGCATTGTCCGCATTCATGACCAAGAACCTTTTCTATCTAGAAATTCTTCAGGCCCATTTTTTCCATGTATTTCACATTGAAGGAAAAAACAGTGGCAAGTTGAAAGAGTTCCAATGAGTGCTCGTCAATTTTGGGAAATAGAGTGCTCAAACATTTCCACCATTTTCACGTTATCCCTCTTGTTTAGTCCATCTTTTTCAGAATTATGGTCGATGATGCCTTGGAATTTATTCCATGGTTTCGCAATTTGTTTGTAATAAGTTTTTTTTTAGCAAGGTGTATTAGGCATTGGATTATACGATAAGAATAACATTCTTCCATTACGTAATAATAAAATAATTGAAATAATTAAGACTCAACTTTCTTAACCGAAAAAAAAATTATTGAATAAATAACCATTAAATTGTTCATTATAAGTTTGACCTGGTGTAAATTACTTACATTAGCATACCATTTAAAGGCATTTTCAAGATGCAAAATATTCTTTCCATAGATTTCACATGTCATGCGTTTGTTGAGATATGTCTTTTCTTTTTTCTTTGAGACCACTGGATGGCATTTCTAAAATAATACTAAGTAATATTTTCAATGAATAAGAAAAAAAAACCCTAAATATTTCTTTCATCCCAAAAAAATTATTTATCATTTAATTTATATTTGTCCATAAATGTTTGTCCAGTTAAAACTTTAAGCAATGTATTTTTCTAATTGTTTTAATTAAAATTTAATTTGTAAGAGATTGTCTAAATATATTTCTTAAAAAATATAAATAAAAAAAATGATATCACATAACAATTAATAATATTTTTAATATGTGTGAAAGAAAGAATACAATGTTTTTAAAACAAAAAGTAATGTTTTTTAAACAAGCTTCTAATCTCACCAGAAATAAGAGCATGCTTGATCCAACCACCTACTTTTCTCATGTGGATAGTGCCTATGCCCTTGTGCTCTGAAAAAGATAAAAAAAAAGTAGGGTGTCTTGACATTGCCATGTACAAATCTATCGGTTTAATGATAAAATTTACATTTATTATATTTGTGATTTGATAATTTTAGATACTTAGTATCGAATTACATAATTTAAATATAAAAATATTGATTTTTGAATGAAATTAATCCAATTTCTCTAATTACCATTATATATAACCGTCAACTAGGTTAATCGTTACTTGAAATGTCAAAACGACGTATTTTTCTAATTGTTTTAATTAAAATTTAATTTGTAAGAGATTGTCTAAATATATTTCTTAAAAAATATAAATAAAAAAACTGATATCACATAACAATTAATAATATTTTTAATATGTGTGAAAGAAAGAAGACAATGTCTTTAAAACAAAAAGTAATGTTTTTTAAACAAGCTTCTAATCTCACCATAAATAAAAGCATGCTCGATCCAACCACCTACTTTTCTCATGCAAATGATGCCTATGCCCTTGTGCTCTGAAAAAGATAAAAAAAGTAGGGTGTCTTGGCATTGCCATATACAAATCTATCGGTTTAATGATAAAATTTACATTTATTATATTTGTGATTTGATAATTTTAGATACTTAGTATCAAATTACATAATTTAAACATCAAGATATTGATTTTTAAATGAAATTGATCCAATTTCTCTAATTACCATTATATGTAATCGTCAATTAAGTTAATCGTTACTTGAAATGTCAAAACGACGTCGTTTTGATATTTTACTCGTTAATTATGTTTTTTTTAGAAAAAATATTTTTAAAATATTTTTAACCTCATTAATCTTGAACATTTTTTTTTATAAAATATTATAAATATTTATATTTATAATATTTTGTAAATTATATAAAAAACATTTTAGAAATATTTTTAACCCCTTGTTTTGATTTTTTTTAATTTTTTTTATAAAATATTATAAACATTTGATAATTTTTTTTTTTGATAATTCATAATTTTTAAAATTATGGAGGTCAACCCTTAATTATGCCCATTGGATATTATAAATATTTTATAAAAATATTATAAAAAAAATAATTAACAATACATAATTTCATGCCTTTTAAAAAATATTTTACAAATTAAAATGAGCATAATTAAGGGTTGAACCATTAGATTTATAAATTATAAATTATTAAAAATATTTTTTATAAAATGTTTATAATATTTTATAAAAAAATTTAAAAAAATCCAAAATTAAGGGGGTTAAAAATATTTATAAATTTTTTTATGTATATAATTTATAAAATATTTATAGTATTTTGCAAGAACTTTTTTTTAAAAATGTTCAAGATTTAGGAGTTAAAAATATTTTTAAAATTTTTTTAGGTATAATCAACTGCAGAATGTTATAACGACGTCGTTTTGACATTTGAAGTATAACAACAATTAGGAAAATTGAATATTTTTGCTCAAAAATCAATAATTTGAGATTTAAATTATGTAATTTAGTATTAAAAATCTAAATTATAAAATTACAATAAAATGATAACAAAATTTGTCATTAAACCAGAATCTGTCCCTTGGGCGAACATTTGTTGGTTCATTTCAAAGTGATTTGGCTTCTTCGTTACAATATCTTTTTGTTTTTGTTTTTTTGTTGCTTGTTTAGGCTTTAGTCAAATTTCTCGCTTCAATATTTGTGCATAAGAGTCAATGTTTTTCCAAGCTATATTATAAACAGTCATGTACACTCTAATTATTGCATTTCACTTATTTATTTAGTTTATGGCCTCTCCATACACAATCAACTATTGTTAAAGGCAACAACATTTACCACCACCACTAACCCATCTAAAAGGTCCATAATTTATGTTGGTGGGCCCAACCAACTTTGTATTGGTCACGAGGAACCTAAATTAGACACGCTTGAATACTTCATTTTAGCACCATATTTCTTAGTGTTGGGGCCTTTTCATTGCCATTTGCGAATCTGTCTCAGCGCAAACATTGCCTCTTTTTTGGTTGATCTCGCTTCTTTATCTCTCTCTTTATTTTTTATTTAGGTTTCAATTTTGAACGAATATCTTCGGATCGACTTTCTGCATTTAGAAGAAGTCTTTTCTTGGTGGTATTTTAAGTACGTTGTCCTCATCTACTCCAGTGGAAGTACATTTTGCTTCCTTATTAGTTCAGGACTTCTTCATTAAAAAAAAAAAAAAAAAAAACCGTTTAGGGCAGCTGCACCTATCTGTTCATGACTCACATATGCTAGTGAATCCAATCTGGGCCAGGAATAACTTAGATGAGACATGCGTGACTGCTCTTAGCCCCAATTTAAATAGGTTTGAGCTTTTTCCTTCTTCAACAAGGTGAAAGCAGTGCCTCTACGCAATCATCCGTAAGAAGCCCAAACTCATAGAACCCAAAATCAGTTCCGGGCTTTCCTCAAAGAACCATCCAAATGGGCCTGCCATTATAACACACTGTTCTCCCCCAAAGTAGGAGTAGAAAAAAAAATCACACACAGTAGAGTAGCGGAACCATTTCAGCACTGACTGCCTGACTCAGACAGACCAAGTCCCTCCCTCCCTCCACCTTGCATAAACAAAACATCCTCTTTGGCTCTTTAACACTAATTGCAGCCAAACACATACCAACCCACTCTCATTTTGACCTGATGACCCTTGGCCCTTTGCTAAAGCCAAACAGCACAACACAAACGCTCGATATCAATAATTTATTCACCCAAGTATAAATTATTGCGATCACAGCATCTCCCGATTTCCAATGTCTCCAGGTTCCAGCTCTCCTTAGCTAGATGTCACAAAATTTATCTCTTGCTTTATCATTCACTAAATTCGATTTTGTGATTTGAATTTACTTACAGTACGTAAATTAATTATGGCGAGCAGCATCATATCCTCCTCCAATCCGATGTCGCTTAAGCACGGTTTATCTCACTGGTGTCCACAGTCATCTCCTTCTCTTCATCGAACTCTCCACCCTTCTTCTTCTTCAGTCGGATTCAAAACTTTCCACCGAAACTACGTCGTTGCTTCCTCCTCCTTCGCTAATGAAAATCGGGAGTATGTAATTGTTGGTGGTGGAAATGCAGCGGGATACGCGGCGAAGAGCTTTGTGGAGCACGGAATGGCTGATGGAAGGCTTTGTATTGTTACGAAAGAGGTGATTGTTCTGTTTTATTTATTTATAAATGAACAAATTTGATAGTGGAAAATGTTTCTGTGAATTTTGGATTTTTTTTTTTTTTTTTTTTGGTGTTTTGTTGTTGCTGTAGGCATATGCGCCATATGAGAGACCAGCTTTGACCAAAGCATATTTGTTTCCACTTGATAAGAAGCCAGCGCGGTTGCCTGTAAGTGCTTGCTTAATGTCTTTTTGTAGAATTTGTAATCTTTTGGAAGCTTAATGTAGGCATTTTGGGAACTGTTTGTATTAGCTTACATTGTTTGGTTCAGTCTTTATTTTTTGCTAGAGTGATGTATTAATTGTTGTTAAGTTAAAACATGTGCTATTTTTATATTATGGTTTAGGGTTTTCATACTTGTGTTGGATCTGGTGGGGAAAGGCAAACTCCAGATTGGTATAAAGAGAAAGGAATTGAGGTAATTTTCTTTCTTTCTTGTCTTCGAATATAGTTTTCTTTTTAAATAGTTAAGATTGGTATTTTTATCTCCGAGGACATGCATGGAAGTAATAGAAAAGGGAAAAAAAGAAAATTATTGTGAAATGATTGGCGAGCTATTCACGTAAGTGTCACATTCTGACATATATATGACATGCATTATTTTAAGGTTGTGATTGTAATCTTTCTTTTAAATTTGAGGATCCGCAAACTGACATTTATAATGCCTCCTTTTCTTCTTGCTTAGATGATGTATGAAGATCCAGTGACAGGCATTGATATCGAAAAACAAACAGTAACGACAGATTCAGGCAAGCTGCTCAAGTATGGAACTCTTATAGTTGCTACTGGATGTACTGCCTCTAGGTACTCTCAATAGTTTGATAATTGACGTGGTTATCAGTTCTGTCTTCTATGAAATATTGAAGGTAACTTTCCAATTTGCGTGGGCTATAGATTTCCAGAGAAGATTGGAGGAAATTTACCTGGTGTTCACTATATCAGGGATGTTGCAGATGCTGACTCATTAATATCGTCTTTGGTAATGTTACTTTCATGATGCTTAGATGTGGCAGATGCTGACTCATGTTCTCAATTTCTGTTCAATTGTTGTTTGCTTGTTAGATAATGAAAAACCCAGACCCCTGCAATGTGTTATTGTTTGGGGATTCCTGAAATTTCATCTCCGTTTTTTGGTGCTCACTGTCATTGTACAGAAGATTGAGTGTTTAGTCTTCACTCAATTGAGTTCTAGCTCCTTTCAAAGATGTCTTCATTTGCAGTTAGACAGACTGAAAATCATCAACTTTTATTTCGAATGAAACCAGCAAGGCATTTTCAGTTTCTATTACATATCTTGGTTTAGGAGTTTAAAAACGCATATTTTGAAATGTTGCAAATTTCACAAAATAAATGGTTTGTTGAGTTATCAGCAAAGAAATGTACTTCTGCCTTCACGCTCTTGCGTTCTAATGATAGTCATTGTTTGGGGAGGGGCTTAATTTAGTTGAGTTGAGTTTTTATTTCCTTTTAATGACATTATCTGCTAATTTTTTAGGCTTTATGTCTCGATTCCTAACTGTGCTTGAAACATTCAAAGTTCAGAATTTGTATCTTATGAACTGCATATCTATTTCTAATGTTGCTTTATAGTGAAATTCTATGGCTATTTCCTTTGTAACAAGAACTTTCCATTTGTTTAGGAGAAGGCACAGAAGGTGGTTGTTGTAGGTGGTGGTTATATTGGCATGGAAGTAGCTGCAGCAGCTGTTGGTTGGAAACTTGACACTACTGTATGTATTCGCATTGCCTAGAGCTTCTGTTGTAGCTGGATTCTTTCACTGCTTTGATAACCTTGTATTTCAAAATTTGGTCATCCATAACATGCTTTAACTCAAATTGTCTGGGTATTGGTTAATTCTGCTTCTTTAATTAACTATTCCCATTTCTAGCATTTTGGACCAAATTAATCCCCAGTCTTTTGAATTTCCATATACCAGCGTTTCCATTTTATTGGTTTTGTACAATGTCCACTTAATGCAGTTCTTATTTCATTTGATACGCTATTTGCTATTGGAAGTTTATCTCCTCCACTTGTTGCATACTGCACAATCTTTCAAAAATGTATAGAACAAAGTTATGTCCTGTGCCTGCTCGGCATCTGGCGAATGGGTGCATCACATTCATTAATCAAATTATTCCTGACTGTAACATAATTTTGTAGATATAGTAGAAGACAAGATATCTGATTTCACCCATGGAATATTTACTTCAGCTTGCCATGTATCTATGTAATACTGCTGTCTCTCATGGATAATCTGACTGGGTAAACTTTAATTTGATTTCTTTTTGGTTCTTTGATATAGATCATTTTTCCGGAGAATCATCTTTTGCAAAGGCTTTTCACTCCTTCTCTTGCTAAAAATTATGAAGAATTATACCAAGAAAATGGTGTTAAGTTCATGAAGGTACTCTCTCATGTTATTTATAGCTTATGATCTTATAACCTTACAGCAGGAGTGCTGACTTTCTCATGTTATTGACCAGGGAGCCTCTATCAAGAACTTAGAAGCTGGTTCTGATGGGCGTGTAGCTGCCATTAAACTTGAAAATGGATCTACTATAGAAGCAGACACGGCAAGTGTTCAGCTACATCTTCAATGTTTTTGAGTTTTAAATTCCTTTCATACTTTTTTGGCATAATATTCATGTACATGCATATAAAAACGAAGCAAAATGTTGCAAGGATGGAGACAACTCGTCCTACCCCCAACAAAAAGAAAGAATCATGAGCATATAATAAATGTCTTTTCCTTTTCATATTGCAGGTAATAATTGGCATTGGGGCAAAGCCAGCTGTCAGTCCCTTTGAAAGCCTGGGGTTGAATAAGAGTGTTGGCGGAATACAGGTGAGCATGGTTCAACAAGTTTTTTAGGGGGTCTTACTGAAATTCCTGCCCACATGCATGCTAGTTACTTCAGCAACATTCTGAACAATGTATTTATGTGTAATAAAGGCTACTGAAATTTGGGAAGCTATGTCTTCGTGAAATAAAAAATTTGTTCAGATTAGTGTATTATATGCTAAATGTTTATGTTATTATTTCTGTATCACTGTATGAAATTGACTTGCTTTACCCAATCAGCAACACTTCAGGATTCTGTCATGATGTCATCATCTGATGAGCATAATCATCTTTTGATTGCCATTACAGCTCTGAAAATCTTGATATTTTTTTATTCATATTTATTATCCATGCACTTGAACTTTTGAATCTCAGGTTGACGGTCAGTTCAGGACAGGTACACCTGGGATTTTTGCAATTGGAGATGTAGCAGCATTCCCCTTAAAGGTATACTTTTCATAAATGATTTTGCAGTCTTTTCTTTTTAATCTTTTTGAAATAGTCTGAGAATATGCATGACCCTGAACAGATGTACAATCGCATGGCACGAGTTGAACATGTAGACCATGCTCGGCGTTCAGCTCAGCATTGTGTTGAATCATTACTTACTGCTCATACTAGCTTGTAAGTATGGATCTTTTCATTGTCACATTTCTGGGGGTTAAATTGTGCTAAAAGTGCTCTTGTTTCTTTTGGAAATGCCCTTTTTAGTGATTGTACTTCTGCATGACATTCAGATATGATTATCTCCCATATTTTTATTCGAGGGTTTTTGAGTATGAAGGGAGCCCAAGAAAAATATGGTGGCAGTTCTTTGGAGATAATGGTACGAACATGTTGTGCTCTTTTTTTATTTTTTTGTCTCATCATGGTCTATTTTAATTATGATGCTTTACATTTTGGTTTGTGTTTAACTTATTGGCAGTTGGAGAGACAATTCAAGTTGGGAATTTCGATCCTAAAATTGCCACCTTCTGGATAGATTCTGGTAATGCAGTTTGTTGTTTCAGCCTATTTTCTCACATATATACTCTCTCTCACACCTATTCCCAAATGCTGTTTGCTGAGAGATGATTTAGTTAATCCTTGCTCTGCCGCAGGTAAACTGAAAGGAGTTCTCCTCGAAAGTGGAAGTCCTGAGGTATATTTTTAAACCTATTTAGACTCTGGGTTGTTGGGATGAGCAGGCAGCAATCAGTTATTTTTCCTTTTACATTTTACAAAGAGCGGCACCCTTCCTATCATTTCCCCCTTATGAAGGACAATGAGAGCCCTGCATCTCATACTTCAGCTCGTTCTGCTTGGCAAACTATAATCTTGTTCTGTTATGAAATGTTTCAGGAATTTCAACTCCTCCCTAAACTTGCGAAGAGCCAGCCTATTGTTGATAAATCCAAGCTTCAGTCAGCATCTTCAGTTGAAGAGGCACTGGAAATTGCTCAGACATCCCTACATGGTGCAGTTTAGTTGAGGAACCACACTCTTGATTCTTAAAGTGAGCCATACATGAAATTTCTTCCTTGAGGGCACTTTGTCGATAATCTTCATGCCTGGTTATCCCTTAAATTGTCCTCAGTATCTGGCCTTTAGTTTAAGTCGCTTCTTCTTTTGTGGAATAATGGTACGGGAAGATGCTTTGTGGGAAGAGAATAGGATTGGGGAGGGGTGTGTGTTATCACGAAGTATCATTGTACAATTGAGCAAATTTTGTAAGATGCAGGCGACTTATGTGTATCAGGTGAAATAAATTGCTAGAGTAATCTTAAAGTTCCATAATATAGCTCGATAAATTTTTCTTTGAGAATCTTTCTTCGACTTCTTCCAAATGTTGGACGAAACTAGAGTTTGCAGGAAGTAGTAGTACATAGATTTCACTGCACTGATGCTCTTTTAAGGTGGGAAAGGGTCTTTGGAGAAAAGAAGTTTTTCCAAGGTTGGAGCCTTCAAAGGGTTGAGTTTTTGCTTGGCAAATTATGTGTGAGCTGTTAGAAGCCCGAATGAACTCTTTTACGCAACAAAGATAATAATATCACATTAAAAGAGTAAATGCGGAATTAAAGATAAAATTAACCTCTGGCCATTGTAGTGGTTTTGTCAGTGTGAGGGTGTTTCAAGATTTTGTGCAAGGGTGCTTCCAAGCTTTAGCGCTCTTCCTCAGATGGTGTGAATGTGCAGGAAATGCCGAGCATTGAGGACCCTAACTCCGTTTTCTTTATTTATGCAACAACACATTGTCTTTCCATCAAAGACAATGGGAGGTAACGGTTCAACAATTATGTTGATTTCATGCAAAATAATTAGCCACTTAAATGTGGGTAACTGATGCAAAATAATAGGTGCAGAATAATTAGGGACTTAAATAGTTAAATGTGGGTAATTAATGCAAAATAACAGGCCACTTATATTTTGTTTATAAAATGCATGAATCCTTTTCGTCCGGCATAGAAATGAAATACATGAATCATAGCGGTAAGTCCCCTAAGAACGAGTATTATCTTCTGTGTATTACTAGACATTTCATTTATTCAGTTAGCCTTAACTTGATGAATAAAACTTATGTTTATTCTAGGTCCAAAGTAAGTGTCATTCTCAAATAAATGTGCACACCAAAAAGAAAACAACAAAACTGAATAAGAGTTTTAATTAAAGTTTATACAACAAAATCACATGATGGAACTAAGCCCCATTCATAATACAGGATCCTTAAAATTCTTTGGTGGAATGCCCTTTGTTAAAGGATTCGCAATCATCAATACAGTACTAATGTGTTCAATGACCACTTTGTTTTCTTTACACGTTCCCTTATAGTCAAATACTTGATGTCGATGTGTTTACTTCGACTACTGCTTTTGTTATTTTTAGCCAAGAAAACTGCAGCTAGGAATGGCAATGGCCACGCCCCTGAAATGCCTATTCCCATCCCGTGCCCCACGTAGGGTAATATTTTTCCTACCATCCCCATCCCCGTGGGGCACTGGTGCCTCGCTTAATTCCTTACGTCCATCCCATTCTATTTTAATTCATATTATCTTATACTAAATTTTAAACTATAGTAAAAAGATAATTGTTTATATAAAAAATATAATTAAGAAAGACAATCATATTCGACTATAAGTTTAAAACACAACTCATAATATATTAAATTATTTTCAATAGAATAAATAACATACTTAATTACGTTCAAAAATATCACAAATGCAATTAAAAAACACAAATCCTTGCATGTGTTTATTGCTTAGAGATCATCAAAACTCACTCATTATATTGAAGACTAGTTTATAATCTCGGAATTTATATATATGTTTGGAATAATTATAATTTTCAAAGGAAAGGACAGGGTAAGGCGGGGTAGGGTAGGCAAATACCATCCCCACCCCATCACCATTCAAAGTCAATATGGTCGCCCCGCCTCGTTCCTCAATCACCTTATGAAATTTTCACGTTGATCAAGGCGAGGAAGGGCAAGGCCTCGTTGGGGTAGAGAAAATTATCATCCTTAACTGCAGTTGAATCGTCATAGTACATCCTCAATAGCTTAGAAATAGAATCAATAATTCTAAGTCCATATATGAAACTCTTTAACCATACAACATGTGAGGTAGCCTCAAAACAAGAAATGAATTCAGCCTCTATGGTTGAAGTAGTAGTCAAGGTTTGCTTTGAACTCCTCTAAGACATAGCTCCACAAACAAACATAAACACATATCCAAATGTTGATTTTTGTGAATCAACATCACCGAGCAAAGTTTGAATCGAGTAACCAACTATCTCTAGATTGTCGGTTTGCCTATATATAAGCATGTAATCTTTGGTTCCTTTAAATTAGTTCATCATCTTTTTAGCAGTTCTCTAATGGTCCATACCAAGGTTACTCCGATATCTTTCCAACATCCCAATAGCAAATGCAATGTCGAGTCTTGTGCAAACTTGAGCATACATCGGACTTCCAATAACGAAGCATATGGAATATTTTTCATTTGTTGCCTTTCGAGCTCATTTATTTTTAGGTACTCGGTTCAAATTGAACTTGTCACCCTTCACAATAGATGATGCACTTGATGAATAATTCTTCATCCGAAATCTCTCCGAAACCTTATTAATACGAGTCTCTTAAGACAAACCTAGAATGCTTCAAGATTTGTCCCTATGGATCTTAATACCAATAACATAAGATGCCTCACCTATATCCTCCATATCAAAATTCTTAGAAAGAAATTGTTTTGCCTTATATAGCAATCTCGTATCATTGGTTATAAGTAGAATATCATCCACATATAGGGAAAGAAAGCAAATTTTGCTCTCACTAACTTGTTTGATATACACATTGATCCATGATGTTCTCCACAAAACCGAATGAAGAGATTGCATCATGGAATTTCAAATACCATTGTCGAGAAGCCTGTTTCAATCCATATATGGATTTCTTGAGCTTGCACACCAAATGTTCACCATCACTAGATGAGAATCCTTCGGTTGTTTTATATAAACCTCATCTTCTAGTCTCCATTGAGGAACACGGTTTTCACATCCATTTTGATGTAATTCCAAATCAAAATGGGCAACTAATGCCATAATGATACGAAGGGAATCTTTCTTGGATATAGGAGAAAAAGTCTTTGTGTAATTGATTCCCTTCTTTTATGTGAATCCTTTAACTATGTGTTTTGCTTTATCTCTCATTGTTGCCTAACGAGTCCTTCTTTGTTTTATACACCCATCCGCATCCAATGGTCTTTGCACCATTAGAAAAATCAACAAGTTCGCATGCTCCATTAGAAGCCATAGAATTTATTTCATCTTTATCGCTTTGTACCACAACTCGGATTCTCTATAAGTCATGGCCTGTGAAAATGTTTCAAGATCATTTTTGGCTCCAACATTATAGTTAGTTGCCTATAGATATACTATGTAATTACTAGGAATTGCTTATTTCTTCATTCTAGTTGATCTTTTTAATGTTGTGCCAACTTTCTCATGAGGAGCATGTTGCACAACCGGTTGCTCAATAATTCCCGGCATTTGTTGAGTAATTGGATCTACTTGGATCATTATTAGCGACTTGTGGATCTTCAATGATTGGTTGTACAACATCCGAGTTGAACTTGAGGGGTGTTATGAATAACAATCAATTTGTTACTTGAAGAAGGAGTTTGAATATCGGAATGATCATTTTCGAAACTAAGTTTCGAAATTTATCGTTCCCACCGATCAAGTCATTTTCAATAAACTTTGCATTTCTTGATTCCATAACTCTAGTGCTATGAGATGGACAAAAAAAAAAAAAAAAAACTTGTACCATTTAGACCTTTCGAGCATATCCAATGAAATACCCACTAATAGTCCTTGGGTCTAGTTTCCTTTCTTGTGGATTGTAAATTCTTACTTCGGACGGGCATCCCCACATGCATATATGTCGCAAACTTGGTTTCCAATCTTTCCATAATTCAAATGGTGTTTTTGAACGACCTTGGTTTGAACTCGATTCAATATATACATTGTCGTTTTAAGAGCTTCGATCCACAATGATCTAGGAAGGTTGGAGTTGCTAAGCATACTTCGCATCAGATCCATCAATGTTGATTTCTTCTTTATGCTACACCGTCCTAGTCCGGAGATCCAGGCATTGTGTATTAGGCCACAATCCTATGCTCCTCAAGAAACTTTACAAATGGACCAAGTGCTTGTCCATCCTTGGTGTATCTACCATAGTATTTCCCATCTTTATATGATCTAATGATCTTAATTTGCTTACCGCATTGTCTCTCCACTTCGCTTTAAACACCTTAAAGGCATCTAATACTTCATTCTTACCATGAAGTAAGTAGCGATACATGTATCGTAAATAATCATCTATGAAAGAGATAAAGTATTTTTGACCTTATGAGTCTATATCTGGACTACAAATATCTTTCTTTGTCTTGTTGGTTTGCTTTCCCTCTATGCATTCCACACAAGTGTCAAAATGTAAAATCTAAAGTACCAAGTACTTCATTATTTACTAACTTTCTAATTCTCTCTATGGAGATATTTCTCAATCTCTGATGCCACAATATAAAGGATTTCTCATTCATAATACATTATTTAGTACCTACATTATTTTGAGCATGCATTCTGTGTTTTCTAAATTAATTCGAAAAGTACCATCAATTAATATATCATTCCCAACACGATAAGATTTATAAAATAAATTAAAATAATTTTTTGAAAAATTAAACAAATATTCCAAAGGTACAAGCCTTGAAACTTAAATCAAGTTTATAGAGAAACTTGAAATATAAAATGTTCTTTCCAAATTCAAAATAAAACCAGAATCTAAAATTAATCTGCACGTCCCAATTACCTCCACATGTGAAGGCATCTTATTTCCTGTATAGATGCATAGTTCACTTTCCACCGGTTTCCTTTGCTAGTTGTAAGAATCAGGAGTCGTATCTGATCATCGATCTGTTTTAAGTAGAGCGTTCATTGCTAGACAAATAGACCTGGGTTTCAACGTAGACAGATCGAAAATTCTAGTCCCTGTCCACTTAATTTTTGGTGATTTGCATACAACCACTAGTATTGCATCGGAGTGGCTTAAGGCTTGGTGTTGGTATTGGTGGTTTGTGTACAAACACTTGGACAATAGGCAAATGGATAGGAATCTGAGACTTCTTGACTTTTTCCAACTTTTCCATCGAAGGTAGCAAACTACCCATTAACAGACGAGTTAGGATTAGGGGGCAGATAATATTAGCTATCGAAAAATCAGGTCCTGAATGGACTAGTTAATTCTGTCTTTTATGGGGGCACCGGCTTAATTTTTTTCTATTTTAAAGTAAAATAATGGAGTATTAATGTTGCTTTCTTAAATATTTTTAAAAAGCATATTCAGCTGTTGTAAGCTTCACCTAATATATATGTATATTTTTCAATGAGCATTAAGTATTAATGTTTTGTTCTTTTCCTTTTTAATCTAAACTATTCTGCTGACTTTCAACGTTGGATGTTTATTTTTTTGGGGGGGGGGGGGGGGGCTGTCCTGATCATGCTTAAGTTGCTAATCAAAATCGGTTTGTCTCATATTTAGGTTAAGTATGTCATTCATTGAAAAATATTTTGGACAATTGCAAGAGGAGATAATTGTGAACTCTCAATTGTCTATAGCACCCAAGTAGTAGTGATTAAAACGCAACATCATATATCCAAATTGTAATTTGAAGCGTCCGATTGGTAAGGATGTCTTGCCACCCCCTTCATAAAAAATGCATATCCTCTCAACTTTATGTGTATAGTTGTTATTTAGAGTCGTGATCTTCAACACTGGCCGCATATTAGTGTACGATTTTCCCATGATAGTCAGTTTTCTCATAAATGTTATAATTTAACGTAGATTACTGCATGCTTTTAATTGAATTGGAAAAATTAACTTAGTTTCATCTTTACGGAATTAAGTAACTTAAAAAAATATATAAAGAATCGATTTGTAATTGGCTTGGCTTTGATCCTTATAAGCTATATTCAAAAGTTACTATTTTTTTTAGAATAAACTAAATGTTTAATTCAAGTTAATTGTATCTTCTGAGAACTGAAGTGATTAGTTAAATTAAACAAAAAGTTATTACAGCAACAATAATATTTATGGATATGTAGTCCAATATTGCTCTCCTTTCAAAAATCACGAAGGAGCATAAACATCATGTTCAAACCTTGTTTCGAAAGACAATTGGCTAGAGCGCATCCATGTCAGAGTAGCCCAAAATCGAGAAAAAAATTGAAATGACCATTTTTAAAGGAAGAGAAAGTTGTCAGTTTTCACTATTTGTGGATATAAAAATAACACAAAAGAATCTCATCTATCAATGGAAAATATTGGCGTATTGTCGTCAAACAGAAATTGTGAATAGCAATTTAACAAAAAAGAAATTGTGAATAGCAAATGCACTCGGTGTGCATCTGATTGTATCATATTAATCCGATCATGGCGATGAGAACGGCAAGGCTTGAAATTTTGAAATGGTAAACTATATTTTAACCCTATACATATTCAGAAATATTTCACTTTGACCCCTGTAGCTTATAACTTTCCAATATTATTCTTTTAATTTCCAGAATTGCCCAACTTCATTCTTGGTCAATGGTTATTAAATAGCCAAAGGAACCTAACCGAGTACCCTTTTTTTCCAATTTTTTTTTCAAATATTTTAAGTTGTTCTTTTTTTTTTTTCCAAACTCTTACACAAACGATGTTGTCTCATGAAATTTTTTAAAGTTTTAACTAATTAAAAAGTGAATTCGTTGTTAGCTATCCACCTACCAAACTCATTGATTTTTTTTTATAAAAAAAACTAGAGAATTAAGATTAAAAAAAAATTGTAGGAACTAAAATAGCAAGTTGCTAAACTTATAAGAATTAAAATATATTTATAAAAAAAAAAAAACGAAAACAGACCTTGTCACATACTTCAAATAGGAGAAGCCTTAAATCATAGTCGCCTTGGGTCAGGAGGGGTAAAAGAGAAAAAGGAAAAGGTGAAAAAACATACCCATCAATAGTAACTTTGACCCTGCCACCTTCAAAATGGGCAAAATCCAAATTCATGAATTCAGGACCCAAATAGTCTCTCAGTTTCTCTATGTTCATCTCTACTGCGCTCTCTCCCCAATCGACCACTTGTCAAAATACAACATAAATCGAAGCCAAGTCGTCAATGATTACAGCATTAAAAACCAAAAAAGAAAAGCCACTCTTTAGGCATATGACAACTTCGAGTGTATATTATAAAAACTCGACGGAGGTTTTGGACTAGAGTTCCAAGTCCACTGCTTGATTTGTTCCAATTCCACTTGGTTCTTTGTTGATGTGTTTTTTGGAGTTTATGTCCAAGTTAATTTTGTTTGACTTGTTTTGGCTCTATTTATGAGAGCCTGTTGCCAATGGGTAAGTAAATTATAAATTAGTTCTTTTAGTTTTACAAAATAAACTGAATAGTCATTTTGTTTTGAAAACTAATTAAGTAGTCCCTTAATTAATGTTAATTGTGGTTAATTTAATATTATTTTATTAAAAAATCTTCTTTTCTCATTAAAATTTTAATTATTGTTTTATTTATTAAAAAATAAATTCAAAAATAAAAAATCAAGTTACAAATAGATTTAAAAATTTAAAGGCTAACTAATTAGTTTTTAAAGCTAAAGGGACTATTTAATTTATTTTGAAAAACGAGAAGGATTAGTTTATAATTTAGTCGCTAGTAAGGTCTCTGTACCACGCACTTGTTCAACACGGAAAGAGAAGCTTCATTCATTTCCTTCTTGCGCAATACTCACTCATTTTGGAAAAAAAAAGGCACCTCCACACACACACACATAGTTATTACAGCAGTATATATATATTTAGACATTTCCTCTTCGTTTGCGTGTGTTTATTAATCTATCTATTTCATTTCCTTTCCTTTCTTCCTTGAATTAAAGTCCCGGTCTCAGCTTTGAATCCCAAGTGAAAATGAAGGTAAGTTTCCCTCTATCCAGTCTTCAACCTTGCTAACCTTCCTAGCAAAAACATGAATTTCTTTATAGTTCAATTAGATTAAATTTCTTGGTTTTTTCTAAGGTTTATAAAACTATGTTTTTCTGGTCGACATATAAGAGTTAGTCTTTTTCTGGTTTTGTTGAATGTTGTTATATTGGTTTGTTCTGTTCTGTTCTTATTTCCTCTTGACTACATGTGTAGTTTAGGAAATCAGACATCTTGTTGAGTTTTCTTGGTCTCAGCTTTGTGTCACTTCCTAATTATTTCTTCGAAGGACAAAGTGGTCTGAATTTCAATACATGGCTTGTGTTCCCTGTTGGTCCTTCATAGGAAAATTTCCTTCTTTCTTCAAGACCTTGTCTGTAGTTGAAGTAAGGATTTTGTTAACTTTCTTGTTTCTAACTTACTAAATTATGTTTCTATTCCAGAAAGTGGTATTGAAATTGGACCTCCATGATGACAAGGGGAAACAAAAGGCCATGAAAGCTGTTTCTGGCTTATCAGGTTTGTGACTTTTTTTGATTGAGTAAATCCTGTAAAGTCCTACTTTTTAAAAGTGAAAAAACTCTCTGTTTTCTGTTATGGACATGAAATTTGTTCCTGTTTTGGTTTCCTTCCATTCAAGTCCAATGAAGTAATACCTTTTTCCTGTTTTATTGTGTAGGAATTGATTCCATTGCCATGGACATGAAGGAGAAGAAATTGACAGTAACTGGAGATATTGATCCTGTTGATGTGGTGAGCAAGTTAAGAAAAATCTGGCACACAGAGATTTTGACTGTTGGACCAGCGAAAGAGGAGAAGAAAGATCAGGATAAGAAAGATGAAGACAAAAAAGGAGGCGCCAAGAAAGATGAAGGCAAGAAGGATGGTGAGAAAAAGAACCCAAATGAACAACAGATGGCCGAGCTTATGACATCTTACAAAAACTACTACAGTTACAGTCCCTACCCACCTCATTATCATTACCGTGCGGTAAGTGCTGAGGAGAATCCAAATGCTTGTGCTATATGTTAGAGAAAAAACATGGTGTTGATCAGACCTTTGAGAGAGAAAATACAACTTAGAAGCACATTGGAGATGAACCCAAAAAAGGGTTGCTTGTTTTGTATAGTTTTTGATGATGATGGGTTTGATTAAAGTAAAAGGTTAATAGTCTAGAGATGTGTATAGACTACATATATAGAAAATAAATGAATTTTTGTTTCAAAATCATTCGCAAGTGATTATTATTAGTGAAAGAATTCCCACTGATTACACTTTCAATTTCAAAACTTTCTTTACTTCGTGGCCATTGCTTGGAGAAACTTCGATCCCTTTTCTTCAATGTACAGAGTTATGAAAGGAAATCACATAAACATATGAAATATCCCTAGACTATTTTATGACATGACATAGGATGTGATGCAATGATGTGCCTACAAGCATTGTTTTATCTGAGTATTTAAAGGTGAAAATATTGTATAGATCAACAAATCCACTAGAAAAATTCAACAATAGAACGTGAACAATCTGTAAGAAGCAAGATATGCTATGCATATATATAGAAGGAATGTTACTTAGCATTAGTTATTTAACAAAAGCAGATTTCTTTTGGCCCAAATCAAAATTTCATTAGAAGGTTAAGATTACAAATCAATGACCATTACAAGAAAATTAACATACTTTATCCTATACATTTTAGCAAGTGTTTAGCATGTAAAAATTTTCAATCTGATCTTTGTACAAAATCTTTTGCACCACCCATTCTCTGTTTATTTTCACTGTCATACAACCATCGTGTCTTTCGTTGCAATAATAAGGTCTCTTTCATTTTCATGTATGCATGTACGCGCATGTGTGTGCGCGGGGGATTGACGTAGAGGGTTTTTTTAAAAAAATTGATCGAATAGTGATCCAAAAATTAGTTAAGATACAAAGAATTAATATTATAATTTATAAAAATAATGATCAACCAAATAGAATGAATGTAACTAATGAGAGGTGTGATAAAAAGAGTAGATTGCATTAATAAAATACAAGTCAAGTAACAGATAAATAGATAGCTAAAGTTAACATTGTTTTGTGTGTGAGTGAAAAAATTTCAAGGAAAAAAAAATTTAAAGATTTTTTGCTAAAAATAAAAAAGCTAGAATCTCAATATAATGATGTGAGGTTGATATTTGTAATGAATTAAAGATAGCTCATGACTACTAGAATCACACTACATTATTCATGTTTGAATACACTAGCCATATTTAAATCGTTAGATTTGAATTGATAAAATTAGATTTTTTTTTTAATTAAAATGCTTCAACTTGCTAGTAAAAATTAAAAAAAAAATAATTGAATTTTATTTTAGTGAACTTTACTCATAGACTACCAAACCAATATTTATAATGCAACTTAATGATAAGAGATAGAGACATTGATACTAATAAAATATATGTGTCTATTTTTATTTGATGTAGGCTCATTCTCAACCTAATCCATTATGTAGCTTTGATCCATACATAATATCAATGATAATAATAAAAATAACAACATAAATTAATACATAACAAAATTAATTAAAATTTTAATTAATTCTTGCGATCAAATTGAACATATATAGCATAAGGTAATTATCAATAGAGTCTATTTCATTGATGTTCTTCTTTTATACAAAATCTTAAATATTGACAAAGCTAGGTTGAAAGAGTTTTGCAAATTGGAGTAGAAATTTCAAAACCATAGAATAGAAAATCTTGATCTTAAAATTCCTACTGTTATATTCCGCTTGGAAATTTTTACACCATGACTCGGTCTTGGTCTTGGTTCAACTCAAGCTCGTTAGCCAATTGTTTTAGGTTACGCTTGTTACATCTTTTATCAACTGGCTCTCCTTTCTTAGAGGAGATTAGAATGTGAAACAAATAGAAGACAAGTAACTTATTAACTATAGAAATTTTTGTTTCTAAGAACTAGAATACCTTCAGATTAATTTTCGAATAGCTACATTAAATTTTTATATCTTCCACTTATAGACAAAAAAACATGAATATCTTTACACTAATTTTACATATTTAGTCAAGTCTTAAACAAAACAATTACATGCGGTGCACTTATTAATAATTTTGTTCCATCCCTTTTTAGATCCCAACCCATATCATAGGAGCCTTGGTAAAGATTAAAAATATTTGTAAAAGCACCATGCAAATTGTCCCTTTCGACTTAACCTTCTCTCCCAACCTCGTCAACAAAGTAGTGTCTTGCTAACTAGGAATCGTAATTTATGTGAAGGTAGAGTAAAATTATAATGTCATAACTCATACGCCCAGTTGTTTTGGATAAGGACAGGCCTCAGGATAGATTTAGAGGTAACCGGGGCCCTACTTGGCCCTCCAAAGATAGAAAATTGTTGCAACTCCTCAAGATTTTACAGAAAGTTCTCAATCCAATGTTACATGATGGGCCACGTAAATTAAAATTTTCTTTTATGGGCCCTATAATTCTCAGATTCTAGTCCTTCACCGGTTGGAAAGTGATGAACCTGAAAGGCCAGACAACCCATCAATTAATTATTGGCTTACCTATGTCATAAACTCATCATCTTTGTTTTTGGCATACTATAGCGACGGCCAATAATTTGTTTGCATTCATGCTCATAGAGTCATGGTATTTATCTGAATGCCAATGATGTCATATGGCATTTGTCCACCAACATCCAACTAATATGTGATTGTTTAAGCAGAATCAATCCTAATTATCATCAATCACTTAACCCTTCTATTCCATAAAATATTCCTAGTTCTTTATTAATTTGTAGGAGAAGGATGATGACAAAGAAAAAAAAAGTGACATAGTAATCCACCGGCTAACAACTTGATTATCATCGATGATGTGAGATGAACTCGATCAAAATCCTGTGGGTAGTTCAAATGTCTGTGCATGACTATAAAACTGAATATAAGCAAGCTGACCTTTTTTTTTTCCCCCTCTTCTAAATAAAAGACCAAGAATATTGGATAATTGTACGTTAATTGCCGGCAAAGGTTCTATATGTTTTGTGCGTATTTTTATTATTTTGATTAGAAAAATTTTTTAATTCTGAACTAATGAAATAATATTTTTTAAAAAAATCGTATCTTTTATTCTTTAAGTGTATAAAAATGACCAAAATTATTTGTTCTAATAATAAAATCCCATGTCGTGCTGAAAACGTCAATGATATGGGTTGGCTCGTGCTCTAGCCCATATACAGTTCTGGATCAAACCCAACTTCATCTCACGGGTTGGGCTTGACATAAAATCTTTTTTCAGTCTGATACTTTTTAATATTTATTGACATATCCTGTCAAGCACACCGTATACTGTCTGGACATTGTAATGGTTCGGTTCGAATCGTAAATCGAATCGTTAAAAAAATCGAATTTGGGTTGGATCCAAAAAAATAAAAAAATTTAAATAAAAAAACCAATTTTATAAGGGCTGGACAAGTAGCTATTGAATTGAAAAATGAAAAAGAAAATTAAGCCTAATAATTTTTAATTTTTGGGCTTAATATATATATATATATATATATATCACAAATGTGACAAACCATCACATTTGTGATCGTTTTTTTCTATAAATACACTCTCAATTTTTTCATTCTCATCACAACTCAATCTCTCATTCTCTCTCAATTTCTTAAACTCTTAAGTCTAGAATTCTCAATACTTGTCTTACAATATTTTTTATACTCCAAATACTTCTTAATTTTTTTACATTTCTATTGTTTTATACTATAAAAAATGACAAGTTCAAGTTCACATATGTCATCACAACAAAGTAATACTGCCAATCAAAATCGACAAGGGAGCAACAACAACAATCAAATTTTACACCTAGATCATCCGACATCTTCAAAATTCATTTCTCAAAAGTTCCTTTAGAAAAAGGAGTTTTTACTATGATTTGTAACTACTGCAACAAGCAATACACATTCAAACAAGGAGGTGGTTATGGAACATTCAAAACCCATTTGGAGAAAAAGCATCCATTTGTACTTGGTAATGATAAACATCGGACACAAATATCCGGTTTGCTTCTCAATCTTCCTCTTTATTTCAGTATACTAATAAAAAGAATAAAGAAGAAATTGCTAAAATGATATGTATTGATAATTTATCCTTTAGTTTTGGTCAAAAAATGGGTTTTAGTGATTATTTTTCTAATGCTTTGAATCCTACTTTCAAACAAGTTGAAAGAAATTCTTTAAAAAAAAATAGTTATAAAATTGTATAAAGATAAAAAAAATTAACCGTATTATTTATAAATTTGAATGATCGTGTTTCTATATGTTCTGATATATGGTTCGATCAATGGTAAACTCACTCCTTTATAGGTGTAACTTGTCATTGGATTGATAATGAATGGCACTTGCAAAAACATCTTCTTGCATATAGAGTTTTTGATGATAAACATACCACTCAATATATATATAAGATACTAAAAAGGATTTTAGATGAATATGTTTTACCTTTAAAAATATTTTCAATTTCTTTTGATAATGCCAATTATAATGATGCTTCAATAGACTCTTTAAAAGAACTTTATCAACCCCATCTTAGAGGTAAGTTTTTTCATATTAGATGCATATGTCATGTTTTAAATTTATGTGTACAATCTGGTTTGGAATATCTTAAAGATATTGTTAGACTAATTAAAGTTCTTGCTAAATATTTATGGGCGCATCCCCAAAAGATGAAATCATGGGGAAAGTTTTGCAAAGAAAAAAACAAAAAAACAAGACGATTTTCAAAAGATATTCCAACTCGTTGGAATTCAACTTATGACTTACTTAGGCAAGTCATTTGAATATCGAGATTTATTATGCTCATTTTTTTCAAAAAATATTGATTCTGTTTTTATTTGTCAAAATGATTTTGATATTTGCAAATCACTTTTGGAACTTTTAAGTGTTTTTAACAATTCAACATACACTTTTAGTGTTGTTTATCAATCAACTTCACATTTATTTATGATTGAAGTAATTAATATTGTTAAAGCTTTTA